CATGTTGATTTGCTGTAGTGCATAATGATGTGTGCCATATTACAGTTTATATTGTTCTAGTATAGATGGAAGGTAGTAAGTGCAGTTATACTTACATATGGTGTTCATGGTTGATGAGTGAAGACTAAGGAAGTTTTCTTTGATGATGTATGCTGTGGGAAGATGTAGTGTGATGTAGGATTCTGAATACTGAATTGTGTCTTATGTATGCCATTATTGTGTAAGTTGTTTTTGCAAATTAAGTAAATGTGATATTTCTTTGGCATGTTTGAGCATTTTCCTTTTCTTCCTGTCTTTATATCTTGTATTTGGTATATGGTTTGAATATCCCTTGTTGTTATTCTTGTTTCATATACCTTGAATGTGTTCTTTATGTCTAGCATTAAATGTTCATCCTGTCTGCCTGATGTATTGTGACTGGTAGTCTAGGCATCTCATTTGGCATGTGCCAGATCTGTTGTGTTTAATTATTTATGGCTAGGTCTTAATACATTCTCTATTGTATTTTGGTTGAAAAGGCTGTTTTTATGTTTTTGTCTTGGAATAGTTTTTTTTTCTTCACTTCTGTCCCACTATATGTGAAAGTGACCCATTTTGTTTCTTGATATTTAGGGTTTCAATTTGTAGTTCCTTTTAGTAGGAAGGGCTATTTTGCCTCTGTATTTTTAACTTTTCTAAAAGAAGTGAAGGTTATAACATCTTATCATTACTTTGTTTTAAATCAATGTTAACCCCAAACAGACAAATTAACGTTTTTGTTCTTTTTCTTCTGGAAGTAAACAATTCATACTATGGAAATTCACTTTACATTTTTTCTTTTAGCACTTCTAAAAGGCCTTGCACAAAGTTCATTTCATGCAGGAAGGCTTTCTGATTGAAAACTTCAGTAACAAATAAAAGATAAATACAAAGACAAAACAACTCCATCCAGTGTGACTATTGAAGTTTTTACTACTTGAAAACTTAGCACACTTATATGTTTCGGTCCCTATAGACCATCGTCAGAGGGACGTCAGTACTTTTTTTGAAACTACTATCACAGTGGGTGTTTTGAGTGTTAAAATACATATACATACAATGTTTGTAATGCACAATATATACAAAATCCAACTTTTCCACAACTACAGCAGCTTTCTTAGTATATTAAAGTTTTTAAAACTTTGTTATTTAAGTTAAAATTTATAAACCAAGTAGGTTCGTGTCCTTTCTCCTGTTGTTTTTCTTGACGGAGGCTGAACTTGTTAAAATATAGATATTAGAAGAAAAATTATGTAGCTTTATTGCACAAACTTCAATTTCCTGGTCAATACAAAATTCATCCAGATCAGTAGGTGTAAATTGTAAGTTCTGACAAACAAAAATTCTTACACCACCATTCTCTCTTTATTTACGACAAAAATAAGATTCTAAGTTATAACATTTTATGACTACGTGTAATTTCAGGCTTAGTTAGGTGGTGGTCTGTGAAGCAGAACACCTGGGGTAATTCAGATTCCCACTGGCTAAGCATTTCTTCAATTCTATTATTTATTCCTCTGATATTCTGATGGTAAATCAATAGACTAGAAAATATGGTGCCACAACCTGCAAGACAATAATATGAAAGAAAAATTGTTACTTTTAAATTGTTGCTTGGAGAGGACTCAGTGTGTTGAACTGCTTGTCATGCAAACATTTTGTCATTTGGAAGCAATCCTGGATGGCTGAAGGAAAGAAGGTACACAGTTATTTTGTATTCATTTTAATAATGTTAAATATTTTTTGTTCATACTTACATTTAAAAGATTTTGAAATATGACTCTATAGTTTTAAGATACATGTATTGTTTATCTTATACTTTTAAAAGATAAAATGAAAAATAATCACTTTTGTAGATTAATTGATATTCTAACATTTATTTGTCAAGATCACTTCTAAAAGTAGTTGTACAGAGTTCATTTTATGCAGGAAGACTTTCTGATCTAACGTTTCAGTAATAACTGAAAGGTAATTAGAAAGAAATACATATGTAATGGCCATCTTATAGTGCACTCAAGTTCATATGTCACTTCTTACTACATGTTTCGGCAACATAGTGCCATCTTCATGTTCGTTATTTACGCTAAGCTATTACATTGTTTATCATCTTGTGTCTTTCATAAAATTATTTAGAAAGTACATTATTCGTCAACTATAATAAAATTTGTATATACTAAAACTTGTTAAGATTATTCATCTATATGTCTTAATTCAAACTCGCGAACAGCCAAATAGGAAGGACACATCACAGACACAGTACACACAGAAACGACTCCCATAGTGGACGAACCATACTATACGCGAGTTTGAATTAAGACATATAGATGAATAATCTTGACAAGTTTTAGTATATACAAATTTTATTATAGCTGACGAATAATGTACTTTATAAATAATTTTATGAAAGACACAAGATGGCAAACAATGTAATAGCTTAGCGTAAATAACGAACCTGAAGATGGCACTATGTTGCCGAAACATGTAGTAAGAAGCGACATATGAAATTGAGTGCACTACAAGACGGCCATTACATACGTATCATGGATGAAAATTAGTGCAACAGGACGCTAAAGTACAACATTAGAAAAAAATAACTATGGATGTGCAAAAAAGACAAATTCTTGTTAAGATTATGATCCTAAATTCAGTCATACTAATGTAACAAAGGAACGAATATTTAGTAAAAACTGAAGGTCATGTACTCTTCTCCATATAATTTTCTATATACAGAATGTCTTGGAAAGAACTCTGGGGTTTGGACACTTGGTGTTTATTCACATGTAGAACAGAATACTGTGGAGACAGGAAAACTGACTCACACAGCACATCAAGTTTGACATATCAGTCAATCCAGTACAACACTGCAACAGTGGGTAGGTTTTAGTATGAATCAGAGGACTGCAGAATGGCAAGGTAGCACATTGTTAAGATGATTATGAATCAGTATGGGCTCCATTCAGAGGCCTGCAAACATCAAGATGATATTTGACCTTAGCTGACACCCTGATTGGCAATACAGTTTTTCTTGTTGCATGTGATTCTTTGCCACAAATCTTGCAAATGTCGGCTTGTTTGGCACATATATTGTCCTTTATATCACCTTGAAGGAAACAGTTGAACAGTATTCAGTCAGGACATCTTGGGATGACTGGGTCAGCCAGTTCCTGTGCACTGATCTGGAAAGTCAGCATATAGAACATTAACACACCAACACTGGAATCCCGAACAGTACACCAATGCTGCTTGACACGTGCACTTTGCGTTGCACTGCTTAGTACAGCAATATTTGACATGTTATTGTGTTCTTACCTGCAGTGTTACATTCTGCTCAGGTCACTAAATGTATGTTCCTCAAACCCAGGAGTTCTTTCTAAGACATCCTGTGTTAGGATATTTCTAATCATAAGTACCATGACTTTTCTTGCTTCTTTGTTCATTTCATGTGTAACATTGAAATATGAAACATGTTTTGAGTTTTATGTTCAGTTGGTTGTAGGGTAACACTAGATGTACTTCTGAATTCAATAATTCTTCCTAGAGCGAGGCGTGTTCAAGTTCATAAAGCACTTCTGACACCAAATTGTCACGTGTTAAGTATGTAACGTGACAATTAACTTTACGCCTTAGTGAATATAGCGAATTTATTGCACACTTGCTCTCACACTTACACAATTCCCAGTTACACAGTTACTGCCATTGGCATTATCACAATCACATCCACTGTTCTCAGCAACTGCTAGACTTCAACTGCACTCGGCGACTTCACGATCCCCACTGTGTCACTCCTAATCACACACGCTGGCTCACATACTGCTCAGCCGGCTTTTTATACCGTTCCCTGTTGCCCCATGTTAACAGCGGTGTCCCCTTGTTACATCACAGTGGGAAGTGCTGTTACGTCACTGCAGGGAAAGGGGACAGAGTGTTGACTGGCCTGTTACCGTAGCAGTGGCAGTTGCTCCGATGCTGTTACGTCACCACTGGAAAGGGGGGGGGGTCCTGCATAGCGCAAATACATCACAATATTATTATTATTATTATTGGAGTGGGTGGGTTTCCGCATGCACCGCGACTAATAGTCTATTGTACGTCCCCCTTTGATATTCTACCAGTCGCCATACCCTGCCGGTACTGGTGCTCGCTATCAGTGAAGCTGGCAGTGGTTCCCAATACTTCCCCATCTACCGGAGGCATTGGAAACTACTTAGGCGGGAAACTTTGCCTAATTTTGCTCAGAGGTCTCCTAGAGACATGAGGATCTTTTATGTGCCGTAAATCTACGACACGGGACCCACAGCTTAAAGTCCCTCCCGGAGGACTTGTTCCCTGAATTTTTCCGCCCTTAAAAATTCCATGACCTCCGCCGGGTTTGAACCCGTGTACCTTGAGTCGTGAAGTGGGAACATTACCCCTACTACGGAGGTCGCTCTCAGAATAGTATACTGAAAGGAGTAATTGATTGGCAAGTCCAGGGCACTGTTGCTACCTGTATTATCTTTAGAAGGCTGTAGTTTCAAGAGATACATTACACAAAATGAATATGTTTTAACTAGATCCTAAATCTTATTTGCATTGTTAAACGAGTCTTGACAGAATTTCATATGTTTTCCCTGAAGATAATCCCTCAGTGATGACAAGATTGAATAAACTGTGCGCAAAATAATTACTCCTATGTTTGAACCACAATAATTTGTGGTACCAACATTCGTGTAATTGACTGTTTTATCAGGTTTGAACCTTAATCAGTGATATGACTATTCTGAGTGAGATGCTTTGTGGTTTCCTCAGATCTATATATCATAATTGGCTTAAATCTGTCTTTTCCTTTTCTTAATCCTATCCAGTTTGTCATACATATTCATCCTCACATCTTGTTCAGTGTTAAGTGACGTCTGCAGTTGATACTATATCAATAAATGGCATGTAAAATACAAAATTACTCATGTAACTTTTGAAACTAATAGAACACATTTTCGTGACAGGTGAAAGTGTGACCACAATTACTACAGAGTCGAAGTTAGTCCTGGAGGACCTGTACCCTGGTGCAGGCTATGAAGTGAAGGTGTTTGCAATTAGCCATGGACTTCGCAGTGAACCACATGATTATTTCCAGGCAGTGTGTAAGTAGGCTCTACAGCCATTATGTTAGATGTAGTTTATATGAGTTGAAATGAGTTAAAGTAATGGACAGCCATGTTGCACTATTTAGATTCACATTCTCAGAGGATCTGTATAGTTTGGAAACAGGTCAGTGTAAAGACAAGAATTAACTAGCCATGAATATACAACACAGTCAATAATTTCGTGGACTGTGGTTTTGTTGCGCCAGATTAGAAGATACTCACATACACTTTCACAATTCCACATCCTCCATCAAAATAGTTGCTGTTCATCTCCTGTTATGATCTGGTTGAGAAACATCCCATATTTGCCAGCACTATCAATCAGTTCACCATAGTGCTCATGGGATCATCACATTGGTCTTTGGTCAGGACATGTGGAATGCTGTGCTGGGTAACATGAGACATGTTCAGGTCATCAGAGAGAATTCTGTGGCAAGTACCATGGCTAATCCCTGCTGCTGCCATTTCATCTACTGTTTGGGTGCGGTTGGCATGCACCAATATTGCAACTTCTTGGATCTTGAGTTCAGTTCTGACCGTTCTCGGCTGACCAGTATGCTCATTATCTTTCAAAGTCTCTCTCCCCTGCGCAGAACGTTTGTGTCACTACACAACACTGTGGCCCAAGGCTTCTTTGCCTTACACTTGCTTGATCATCTGAAACGTTTTGCTAGTGGATTTGCCTAATTCTTGGCAGAACTGATGTTTACCTGTTGCTCAAAGTGCAACATTCTCGATTTCCGCCACTCGCTCACAACTACCCTTCACAACAGTGACTTTCTTTCTGAATATGCCACAAGCATGCATCTGCTTCTGGCTGGGATGACATAAGAATGGACACAGCACAATCTTGTGGCTCTACATATCAACTAAGGCCACGCCATAGCTCAAGTGGTTAGTCGCTGGCTTTCCACTGTGGCGGCCCGGGTTCGATCCCGGGTTGGTGAAGTGGGATTTGTGGGGGACAAAGTGGCGCTGGGGTATTGGCTGTACTACAATTAAACTCTCTTACATGTACTATATATGCCCATCTATATTAATATGTTGGAATTCTGTTGTCATAACTTATTACATGTGATCTTTCCAACTAAAATTCATGAACATGATAAGAATTCCTTCATCATCAGTTGCTACATACTGTTGGAGTAAAGTGAAGTAAGTAAAGGTATCCCTCTAACAGGCCATGGAGGCCCATAGGGTTGTGAGATGTTGAGGTTCCCACATTTTCTAGACAGTCAGCTCATATATGGCGGTAAGGTTATCAGCCTTATGCACCAGCCACCGTATACCCCCAAGAACATTTCTGGTACCCATTTCTGTTAGAGGCTGAGTTGACCCCAGGGCCATAGTGTGGCTGGAAGGATTAGATAAATTGAAAAAATCCAATGACCTCATCGGGATTCAATTCAACAACCTTTTGGCTTGTAGCATAGTGCCTCAAGAAAATTTTACGGTTTCTGTCTCTAGCTACAGTTTCCAGAGATAACCCTCTCATTAAATTCTCTTATAAATTGAAATTGCAATTTCAATGTATATCCGCACTGTAAATTTGAAGAGTTCTGCAAATAAACTTGATAAAATAATCATAATAATGATAAAATGTTGGAGTTGCCTTTTCTTGGCAAGGATTAATACTGTAATGTTGACTGATAACACTAATACCAACTGGAACATTTCCATTTGTTGACACCATCACTCTGGTTCTCTCTGAGGTTCATTTCATTTCCATGGAAACAACATATTAGCAAATCAACAAACATAAGAAAATTATGAAAAACACTGCCCTGCTTAGATTAATTATAAAAAAATAAAAACTACAGTTAGATTCTGTTCACATAACAGAAAGCTCTTCCATGCTCATATTATGAAATATTTAACCTCATTGTTTGAAGGGCTTTTGAGTGTGGAGCATTTAGTTTGTACACTTGACTCCATGTCTTACATATGTCACTCATCTGTGCACCTACTGTGTACACTATTTGCTGTAGTTCAGATGTTCCTGCTCTTCGAATGTTCAATAGAAATGCTGAAAACATAAATATATATATATATATATACATACATTAAAAACACAGATATACAATATTGTAGGTAGCTCCAAGACTGACTCGTAGGTAGCTCCAGGACTCTCGTGAATAGCCTTCGCTGCGCCTCATGTAGCCTCGATCGGACAATACAGAAAACGGCCACGTCATAAGCACCCTTGTTGCCTGGCGCTCTGTTGCTAGTAACGCTAGCGGTAGTAACCGCTGTTACCACCGTCGTCTCTTGCAATCATGTTTACCCGTGCTGCCCTTGGTGATGTCATCGCTGTTGACTCGCTTTGCATAGCGACCAGGATGCTAGGACTCGGCTAACTTCGGCTCACTTCGGCTTCGCTCGGCGCCGCTCGTGACGTCACCGCGGGGAGAGTTGCGGTGTGATTACTCGCCTATTACGCGAGCGCTACGTTACCGCTACGTGCAGCTGGGTAGGTAGGGGTCAACATGTCACAATAAGAAACAGAGTTTCAGGAGCTTTCTGTGGTTCTGTTGTCAGATAAAAGTATGAAACCAATTCTACTGGGGCCATTAGATGGAGCTAATCTCTATCCTTACTGAATTTAATGGTCCCAACAGAGTAGATTTCATACTTCACATGACGACAGAAGCTGAATCATTAGCTGAAACATTGTGTTTCTTTAACAGAGAATTATGTGGTGCAAAATGTTCAATATATGTGCCCTACAGGATTAATTTAGATTGTGGTCTTCTGAGTTATGGCATTGTATAGACTTATGTGTTTATACACAATATACATGTTCCCAGAGTTTATAGATTAGCCTGTAAATTGAACCATACTCATTAACATACTTTTTTGTTTGTGTGTATGTGTTTCAGTTCCACATCCTCCCCGGAATCTAACGATTGAAAAGGTTACAAGTAATTCAGTACTTGTGCGTTGGGAACCTCCGCTGGATTCCATATTTTCAGAGTACTCCATTAGGTAAGTTCTTATCAACAGTAATGCGCTTAGTAGATTTATGTTTTATTTGAAACACATGTAAAGTGTATGAAGCAAAATTGAGCCCCATATTTGTGTTACTTTAGCCCTTTTGGACTGATATCATTAGTAAAAATTGATTTTTGGTATTTGATGGTACTGTGAACTTCCTGTCAACCTGTAAAGATAAATAAGGAAACATATGAGCCATAAATTTTTGGTTGGAAAACCTCAACAGAAGGCCGTATTTGGGAGATCTAGGTATAGATGGGAGGATAATATTAAAATGGATTTTAGAGAAAAAGGGTTTTATATTATGCACAAGATTCATTTGTCGCAGGATAGGGACTGGTGATAAGACATCTGTGAACATGACTGTGAACCTTCCAGTTCCATAAGAACAGGGACATGTTTCATCAGCTGAGTAACTTACCTTTTCAGAAGAAAGTGTTTACCATGGAATTAGTTGATTGGTTAACATGTGGCATAAGTTTTGTCAGGGTAAGCCAATGTGTGAGTGCCTTTTTAAGAATAAAGAAATAGTATTTTACAGTATGTAGTAGAAAAAGAAGGCAAATTGCTGAGTTTCTAATTGCACAAATTTAGAATCAAGAAATTCAACACACATTGTTTGGGGATTGTAGGAAATATTTAATATATCACAGAATTACACACACACAGGCTAGTTTTGAACCCTTCAGTATGGAGGATGCACCTTACTCATCCTAACAAATTTGTAATCTGTCATGGCAGGACATGAAAACACCCATTGTCACTCTTCTATTTCCAGTGTATTAAACATGCAAGAAATACTTGTAGCACAAGCTAGCTTAAAGTCCAGGCTATAAAATTAAATCCTGATTGACTACAAACATCACTTAAATTGTAAGATTTGAGGCTTTCACGGCGGTGACTATGAAGAAAGGAGTCTTCGGGGATTTGGCACCGTGTATATGTGGTGTTAACCGATGTTTCGGAGGAACGTATCGCCTCCATCTTCAGGGTAGAAGGAAAAATATAAGAAATCCGCAAGCGAAACGTCGGTTAACACCACATATACACGGTGCCAAATCCCAGAAGACTGCTTTCTTCATCACTTATTTGTTTAAAAATGGGTATTCCCCTTACCTGCTGTTAGATATAGTTGTGGGCCAGTACTCACCCAGTACCAGTGGTGCAGAAAAACAATCCTGCGTTGAAGTATGAATAAAATTATAACAGACAAGAAGGAACCATTGTTCATATCATATAATTTTTCTGAAAGTATTTCAGAACAGTTATATGTTTAATTTTCATATTAAATTATACCCATCTTCAGTATCTGGCTGTTTTACTGTGGCATGATGTTGGGTACATCCTGGACAGGGTGCATTGGATGGGATTAACATCTGTGCTTTTGCCAGAAACTGTTATCTGGTCATCCAACAAAGTACTTTAGCAGATGAGCTAGTCAGGCTCATTATAATTTTATCACCGGGCAGTTAAAACACTGTGTTGCAGGTATTCTTTATTGTGGGATAATTTACGATGATATCAGTATCTAGACTATATAGCATTAAATGATGTGGCAAGTGATGAATGGGAAAGGATTTGGAAGGAAGTAGTTGTGGCCCTAATTGAAATACCATGCAGATGGACTGAGGAAATCAACAGAAAACCTCAGTCTTTATAGCTGGTGTCCTCACTGAGTACCTTCTGAATATGGGTGCAGAGGATTACTGCTGTGTTTAACCCACTGCGTTTGCAGATATAGGACTGAAGATAATGATCAGTGGCTTAAGCTGTCATCAGTGAATCAGCATGAGGCTCTTGTGGAGGACATGACCCCTGGAGAGAAGTACCGCATCCAGGTGAACACAGTGAGCTATGGTGTAGAAAGCAACCATCCACAAGAAGTCACCCAAACTGTCAGTGAGTGTATATGATTTATTTATTTATTTCGTCTCTATAGATCATTGTTATGTGATATAGGACAAGTCAGTTACTGTACATTGGCTGATTACAATAAGAGAATAAAGTTACAATACAGTTGTTTACAATAGATTACAATAGTTAAAGAGTTCATACAGTGTGAGATGGAATCCATATTAGGTCCTCTTGGCACGTCGGCTTCCATATGTCCTATTGTACCTGTACTGGTGATAATGCTTAGGAGAATTTGATGGAATGAGGATTGGCAGGGGAAACCGAAGTGCTGGGGGAAAAGTTGCCCCAGCACCACTTTGTCCATCACAAATCCCGCCTGACTAGACCGTAGTGGTGGGAAGCCAGCGACTAACCGCTTAAGCTATGGTGAGGCCTAGACTGCAGCGGTGGAAAGCCAGCGACTAACCGCTTAAGCTATGGTGCGGCCTAGACTGCAGCGGTGGGAAGCCAGCGACTAACTGCTTAATCTACGGCGCAGCCTTTGAGATAATATTGGTGAATTTGCATCATGCAGTGACGTATCCTCATATAATTTGTATTTATTTTATAATGATGTGTGTAAGGTAAGAATGTATGTTAAGGTTTAAACTTTAAAGTACAGAAGTGCATGGGAACTTTTTTTGAACCTTGCATTAGGTCCATAACCTATTCAAACTTCTATTCTTTTGCGGTGTTGCAGGACCAAACCCTGTATCAAACATTGCCCCTCTTGTTGATTCGACCAATGTGACCCTTGAATGGCCACGTCCAGAGGGCCGTGTAGAAACGTATGTGGTGAGATGGGTAGCTGAAGGTGAAGAAGAACCCCCTCACACCAAAAACATCACGGAACAGAACCTCATTGCCCCGCACATGTCAGAAGAGCAGCCAGTTAGAGTGCTGATTGGTGATCTCATGCCAGGAGTGAAGTACCTGTTTGAGATCCACACTGTCTCATACCACCTTCACAGTGACATCACAAAACTTGCTGCCCGAACTAGTAAGTTAACAAGATCATTCCTGCTCATGTATCGCAGAAACATAGATGGCCTCAACTTGACAGCTGTCCACTTATATGTCAGCTATGTGATCAGTATTTTCTCACATTTTCATTGTTTCAGCTCCAGAATTTCTGCACATGCATGCAAAATTTAATGTTGAGACAGGTGTATGCATATTTTTATTACTTTTATGGTGCCCACAGGCTCCAAATGTCACAGGTTTCACAAAAGGCCAGAATCTGCTTCATTATGCTGAAAATAACACTAATTAAATAGTCTGAAAGCCCAGTACTATTCAAGAATGTCAAATGTGGTATTCTCGAACAGCATTTGGCTGTCAAAGTTGACTGAACTTAGCATCGTTTCATTCAGTTGTCCTGAGTTTCATTACATAAGTTTTAGAACCTTGGTTACAAGCCCCTGTGCAGCCTGATATTTTTGTTACATTTAGCACACAATTTTTGGCATTTAATAATTTTACACCTGGTTTTATTGTCTCATCCATTTACAATCACATATAAATTTTAACATGGTTATGTCATGAATTTTTATTTTTATTTTTATTTTTATTTTTATTTTTATTTTTATTTTTATTTTTATTTTTATTTTTATTTTTATTTTTATTTTTATTTTTATTTTTATTTTTATTTTTATTTTTATTTTTATTTTTATTTTTATTTTTATTTTTATTTTTATTTTTATTTTTATTTTTATTTTTATTTTTATTTTTATTTTTATTTTTATTTTTATTTTTATTTTTATTTTTATTTTTATTTTTATTTTTATTTTTATTTTTATACAAGCACAGATGACCTTGAAAGCTGACGCTTCTCTAAGCCCACACATATGATGATGACCTGGAACCTGACCTGTCATAAAACTAGGGATTCACTATACCTCATTTTGCACTAGCCTCCAATATCAAAATAATCACCCTCTAGGAATTCCTTGAATATCCAATGCTGGAAAACCCAGAACCCGATTGTTTGGCTGAGCAAACTGAAACTGCATACTGCCAGTTTTATTGTATTGCTACTCACAGAGAATAATGGACTACAAATCATGTAATATGGACCTTAAACTTATGGAAATCACTGTTTTCCAATATTCAGCTTCTATCTCAGGTAGTGGAGGAAATATACAGAACTTATGTTGTTAAAACAGAATCTCAGACAGTGGAGTTTCATTATGATATGCCAGTATTTTGCTAACAGTTATAGTAACTTCTAGGAAAGAAAATTTAAACATAAATTATCCTGTTTCGCATTTTTTTGGAACATTCACAACTCTTAACCAGAGAAGTCAGAATGACAGTAAATTTCTCTTGGGTGTGATTGACAGGAATCTGTAACAGGAAACTTTACAGTATGTCTGTCATGTAAATGTATGTTTTTTCTGAGCCAGTAAACAGGTTTGTAACTCTTTGATTTATAAAGTTACTTGCCTTCAGAAGGACCACAAGGAGTAATGTTTCATGTTTCATTCCATCATAAGGGACTTCTTATGGAGAAAGCAGTTTTCCTCTGTCTGTTATCATTCCCTCTATACCCAGTACTTACTTGCCTATGCCTGGCAGGCCAGGTGTGTCGGCACATTGGCACAGTCATGGCCTTAAATTGCATCTAACATCTGACCTAGCATTTAGCTGAAGATAGAGTTATAGAAGTGTGTGTATATGTGGAGGGGGCTTTAAGAGTGTGTATTTCATTGTCACTGTTGTGATAAAGTTCTTGTCTATCTCCTAGTTCTTCCTCATATGGTATTCTTAAGATAGTGAAGTCAATGAGTATGTAATAGACTGGACATGTAGGTCAGCTGGGAAAATGAGAAATAAATGTGTACAGAATTTTGGTGAGTTTCTTTTAAATGGTCACTTGGAACACCATGAAGGTGAAGGATATTAACCTAGTGGCATGTTGTTTGATTTTGTTTACTCACAATAAATAAACAAAACACTTCAAGGTTTGAAAATAATTACCTTAAAATTGTCTCAAAATGTCTAAGTTTCTTCACAAGCAGTTTACATAATGAGAGATTCATCGATTTTATACAGCTCATGTAAGTGTTTGGATAATTAAGTTGGGGAAGCTGCATCATGCTGGACATATAGCTCAGATGGGGGAATGAAAAATACATATGGAATGGAGAAACTCTTGGAAACCCCAGAAGAAGGCTTTGAGCTATATGAACTGGTTTCAGATAGCTAAGCACTGGGCCCGCTGGCAGATTGTAATATCAATCATGTTGAATCTTCACATTTACACATCATTAGCTAGGTTCTTAAATTAAACTCTTTTTGACAATCCGGAGCAAGCATAATAAGATAAGCATTCCATGTTCACAGTGCCTCTTATTCAGTCTGAAGTTTTGGTAGTCAACAAACACCCACAGAAATTGGACTCAATCACATTGCGCTACACCCCAACACCTGCATCATCATCGCATTTTGACCTTTACCGCTTTATGTTGAGTGACCCCAGCATTCCTGTGAAAGAGAAGGCAGCTAATGACACAGACATGAAGGTAACATTCACAGGACTGAAACCAGGACGACTTTACAACATCACAGTGTGGACTGTATCAGATGGAGTTGCTAGCCACCCATTACTACGACAGGATCGTCTTTGTAAGTAAAATATAATTGTAATATTCTGGTATAATTATGTTTCTTGGGTGATTTTTAGCCTAAAATTTTGTACAAAAAAAACCAGGGAATTTATATTTGGAGTTTTCCTAGTGCTGGTTTGTGGCACTGTTTGATCCAACTTCTTGCTTGTAGCCTCTACCTATTAGACTATGCAGTGTCATTACCAAGTAAACCATAATATGCTAGAAGTTGTTGGCATTTGTAATTTTTTTACATTTATCCCCTTACATTTTCTTTCACTTCTACATTAAACTGCAGTCAGTTTCATTAGGATTATAATCTCTTTTAATTTATTCTTTTACTATCACCAAAAGATGTCAGATCTTTAGCATTTGCTGTATAGGTAAAGTGCAGATTAGTAAAATTAGTCGTTGATTGAATTTGTATTAGGGTTTTACATTGCTGTTAACATTTTACTGCCAAGGGAGAGCATTTACAGTGCCATCCCTGAATATTTTTGTTTCCCTTTGTCAGTTGCTCTTGTTCAGACTAGTTGTGCATACCCTGGTATTATACACATTTTGAAATTTGTATACCAGTCACAGATTAAAAAATAAACAAGTTGAAAGTCAGTACATTGTTTCCCATGAAATGGGGTAGATGCCATCAGAGCTACTCTTATAACACATGAAATGTTGATATCAATGTACCAAACTGAAATGAGAAAAATTGGGGGTAAAAAAGGAATGAAACTCGCTTTGAGAACTTGTCAGTGAAAGAGGTTCGCTACGTGGATGGTGAAAGTGTGGCTGGTTTTTGTGTTTACAGATCCTGAATCCATTACAGGAATCAATGCTACTTACATCTCAGACACAGAGATTACACTTACATGGGACTTACCTGAAGGAGAATATAATGCATTTGAGGTAAAGATACATCTTTCATACAAAATTATTTTTCCTGTCTCCTTTTTACCAAGTAGGTTCGTGTTTCAGTAATATCCTAGACTATTTACATGGTTAAAACCATGGCCTTATTACTGACTGTCCAGAATTGAATTTCTTATGGTTTCCCCAAGTTTTTTTCAGTTTGATTCTAAGATAGTACTTTCAAATATGCCATGCCTTCACAGTCCTGATATATTTTCTACTTATCATCCATCCAAATAATTTGATGTATTGTGACAGATAGACTCATTGCTAGGCAGTGACTTGGTAAACAAGCCTTCTCAACAATAGAGAGGTTGTGTTTTCTGTGTGGCCTGTGGTGAAGGGTTATAAAGGGACAAAGAAGGTCATTTGGTCGAGTTCCGGAGATGGCAGTTGAAGGTGATTGAGAAGAAATAGCAGGAAATAAAATTAGACTGTACAAAGAAGACTCCATATCTGATTTGAAGTTTCAGTGAGACTGTTATAAATCCGTTGCCTGGATATGACTAACGAAGGCTGAGAAACCTAGTGCGTGTGTACCAGTGAAATGTAAAGTGTGTATGTCAGCAATAGTTCTCTATTGCCTGTAGTCCCAAGTTGTGTATAAGGTGTCAATAGATCCAATCAACAACCCATCTTATAGTCAACCCTACATGTGACAGTGTGTAACTCCTACATTTGAAACATTTGCAGGTTCAGTATCTCAACACTGAAGATGTTCTTATTCAGAACCTAACACTTCGCAATTTCATCACTGTGACAGATTTGAAACCTCACAGGAACTATACTTTTACTGTGGTAGTTCGCTCAGGTACAGAATCACAGGTTCTACGACGGTCATTACCTGTTTCTGCTATATTCACAACAATGGAATCTGTTCCTGGCAAGGTAAGGACTGATTGGTGGTGAGTGGTCAGCTTCAGAGCCCTGCTATTTATTGTGACATTTTAGTACAAATTGTTAATGAACACAAATTTTACCCCAGAATTTCCACTTCTCCATGTGAGTGTCAATCTTTCTCAAAATGTTATGTTTTTCTTAATCACAATTCATAATTTTCTTAACCTTGGATATGAAACCATAATACCAATCAAAATTTATTGGATATGTATGTTTTTACGTTGCTTTCTTTATTTTGAAAAAAAAAATAAAAGTAGGTTTATGAGATCATCTTCATGCCTCTGTGTGTGTGTGTGTACAGGTCTTTTTATGTCCTCCCCCCCCACTAACTTTTTAATGCCTGAACCAATCTTTATGAAACTTGTTATGTATATCGTGCCAAATGATCCCATCTCAGTGACATAATTCATAAATCCCTCTCATCAGTAATACCAACTCTATAGCATCAATACCCTTAGTATTACTTGAATGCTTAAACTGATCATTATGATACTTGGTATGTATATGATGCCACCTGAGACCATGTCAATGGCCTCATTAGTAGTACCAACACTACAACCACTCAAACTGTCAAGATAGTAACCTTAATATTACATGAATGTCCAAAACATTCTTCATGAAACTTGGTATGTATATAATGCCATCTGAGGTCATCTCAGTGGTGTACCTCGTAAATTAGTCCCACCATAAATTCATATTTTCTTGTTTTCATGCACACCCAGTCTTATCACTTTGACTACAACTGAATATTGATTTGTCAGCATTCTATCGTTTTTGTGAGGCAATGTTACAATTCGCTGCCCAGAAATAACCTATTTTGACTGATTCTTTGCATCTGTATGTATGTACATGCGGTAGCGTAGTGGTTGAGGGGCTATGCTACAAGCCGGAAGGTCGCGGGTTCAAGTCCCGATGAGGTCATTGGATTTTTTTTCAGTTGACCTAATCCTTCCAGCCGCACTAGGCCCTGGGGTTTGCTCAGCCTCTAACAGAAATGAGTACCAGGAATTAATTAAATAATTTTCCTGGGGAGTAGCGCGGCTGACACGTAAGGCTGACAACCTTACTGCCATCGTTGAGCTGATTGTCTAGATAATGTGGGACCCTCAACGTCTCACACACCTATGGGCCTTCACGGCCTGGTGCAGGGATAGCTTTAGTTTTTCTTTTTACTTTACTCTGTAAGCTCCCGATTTTGTTGCCAGGTTGAAAAGTTCCACCCTCAAGATATTCAACCAAGCCACATCTCGTTTGAATGGGCATTACCAAGTACTGAGCAGAATGGAGTTATACGCAAGTTCACTATTACGTACGGACTCGAGGTAAGCTGTTTCAGAGTTCTGGCAGAGTCAAGTAACTGTCATTAAGTCCATGAAGATGCATTCTCCTCCTCCTCAGGCCAGAGCCTCTTCTTTCCATCTTTTTCAGTCTACTAAGGCATCTTCTTCCCTTAAGAAATGTGTGAGATTATACACTCCACATTTTTATTTGAGATATAAAATTACAATAAAAAACTGAGTTTTAAGTTTGAGAGGCTTGTTTGTTTGACATTCTGAATTTATGAGCAATTGTAGTTTTTTAAGTGTACTTTTCCTGGATATGACTGTGTTTGAATAATTTTGTTATGTATTTTGTTTATATGCTATATCATGAACCTATGGATTGCACATTGACCGAGTGATCGCCACTTGTCAGTGAAGTTACTGCCAACTTTAGTGGATAGAGGGTGTTACGTGGTCAGCGCAATGAATCCCTACAGCCGTTAATTTCAGTTTTCTAGATCAGAGCCGCTATTTCCTTCAAATAGCTCCTCAATTATCGTAACAAGGCTGAGTGGACCCCGTTCCAGACCCACTACTTCTCAGAAAATTTGGTTGAGTTGGGAATCAGACCCGAACCTCTGGATCTGTAGCCAGGAACTCTGAACACTAGACCACAGAGGTGGTGGGTATAGTTCGCTTGCAGACAGAAACCACAGAGTTTGTTTCGTTTTGTTATGGATTGCACATATAGCCAAACCGTCTGTGCTGATAGGAAATGGTACACAGGAAAAAGACCTAAGGAATAATAGCAGTTCATCCAGGTGCTGGAAGACAGTAAGCAGAAAAAAGCTGTCAAGAAATCAGAAAAAGGATTGTGGGAAGGGGGAACAGACTGGGGACTTTTTATCCATAAACTCTTATAAAATGGAAATAGTGCTAGGAGAAAAAGAAGGTATTTGATCATAAAAGACCACATTTAAATTAAATTAAAACAATAGTCTTAAAACTTATTTACAGAATGCTCCATATATAAAATCCCTGGGTTCAACACAGCCTCTTAACAGAAATGAGTACCAGGTATCTTCCTGGTGGTAAAGGGCAGCCAGCACATAATGCTGACAACCTCACCGCCATCTGTGAGCCAGTTCTCTGTAAATTGTGGGAACCTCAATGTCTCACAACCTTATGAACCTCCACGACCTATGACAGGGATAGCTTTACCATTTTCTTTCTTCTTGTTATAGCTCTTGTAATTGTAATTTTCATGCTTAATCTGTTATTTTATTTTGTTATGTGCAGGGTTCTACACACACACAAGTAATTAACTTTAAACCAACTGAATTCTATGGTACCATCAAGATGCTAATTCCAGGAAAATCATACATTTTCCGTATTCAAGCAGAGACAAAGATTGGTTATGGACCTGAAGCAATTTGGAAGCAGAAGATGCCAATCCTCCGTAAGTACTGCATTTAATATACTGAGAAGTTCAGCCTATTATGGCATTTTTTGACAATAATTTAGTTGGTTGGCTGATCAAAATATAGTGACTCATGTGTTGACATTAACAGAGCCCTGCTGTTAAACTTCCTTGATAATGAACACTCAGGCATTTCCTCTAGTCACTGTACATTTGTGGTTGTTATCAGTCGGCTGTGTGCATTTCTTTATACTGGACCATGGTCAGGTACAGTATTGAACAAAATGTTCATTGTTGGATTACTTTAGATGAAAGAAATCTTATTACAAATGTATTCATAAATTCTGTCCTCAGTATCCAGATTCATCTTTATGTAACAGACTGTGTGTTACTGAATGTGTTACAGTTTTACAAAAAGTGGCATGAAACTATGTCAGTTGCAAGTAGAAAGTGGTATAAACTAAATTGTGCTGACATCCAAACAAGACACGTGTGTCTAAAAAAATAATTTGTCAGTTGTTTCAAGAAACAAAATCACTAAAGCATCAATTTTTGTGCTGTGAAAATGGTAGTTTCATCAGTACAAAATGCCGATGGCACACCAACTTGTATGATTTTTGTCTGTTTGGAGATTAGAAATAAAGATAACCATGCACTTTTGAGGACTTGCAGATTTAAACCCAGAAAACAGAAGGTGAATTTCATTATGTATAAAAAAATTTTGTTATTGTGAGCCAGGGTAGCTTAATCTGAATAGTGATAGGTTATATGCTTGACAGTTGCGGTTTGCTTCCTGAAAGGGGTAAGTGATTGTTCCCTTCTCTACAGCATCTAGACCAGGAGCTGGAATAGCATAGTCGATATAGTGACTTGCTACGGGCTGGACGACTGAGGGGTTGGTGTTCAAGCCCTTGTAAGGTTAAGAATATTCTCTTCTCCACATCATGCAGAACGGGGCCCACCCAGCCTCCTATCCAGTGCATACAGGGGGCTTTCTCCCCTGGGTTAAAGCAGGTGGGGCGTGAAACCGAACACTCACCTCAAACTAGTACCAGGGTCAAGAAAATTTGAATCTATACATCCACCCTCCCCGTATGCCTTAATGGCTTAGTTCTTAATTAGTTGAGCACAGCAACAACTTCACCTTGCAGCATGTAGACCAGCTCTGGGACCCTTCCAGCCTCATATCTACTTGGTATGAGGGTTCCTTCCCTGGGAGGGTAAAGTGGCCAGTGGCATGAAGCAGACCTCTCACCTCTGTACAGTGCCAAGGTCAAGAATGGTGGAGCAACACCTCCACTCCTTGATACATCTTCATGTCATAATGTCTGTTTTTATCTTTATCACAGAATTTGTTATGTCGGTGCAAACTGTGCACGATACATAAGGACACCACTTTTAGGAGCTGCTGCAATATGGGGTAACTAAAGTGGTTTTACTGTTGACAGTGCGGAACCTCCAGTTAGATCATGTGGTAATGGCTGATTTCAACACCAGCCTTGTCTTGCTGTATGAACAGATGGTAATAATGCCAAAAATGGAGGAATGAACTTTCAACCCATTTACTTACTCATATGGAGACTTGTCATTGAAACCAAATCACTTGCCATTCAACAGACATTGTATTTAAGAATTCTGTCTTCTGGGATATAATGTAATGTAATCCACAGAAAATCAACTAACATTTGAGAGGAACATATCACCTCCGTCTTGAGGGTTGAAGAGTAAACCAGGCAAGAAACTGGCACGAAGCAGGCAGTTGTGCTTGCTGCTTGCTCAGGCTGGTTTTTTTGTTTCTTTTACGGTTCAACCCTGAAGATGGAGGCGACATGTTCTTCCTAAATGTCAGTTAACTTTCAGCAAACTTCAGAGCATTATATCCCAGAAGACCACTGTCGCAACCTCATATCCTACAGACATTGTTTTGTAGAAGTACAACCATGCTTTCTCTTATTGTAAGGTAAATAGCAAGAGATATCTTAGTGGGTTTTATTTCAGAAATAGGTTCAGCAAAGTTGGTCATCAGTTGAGACACATGACATATTTTGTCTTTAACTGTTTTCCGTATTTTTCTGACTACATGATTTCCAGTTTTGTAACATTCTTGAACATGATCAAATATCCTGCTAAAATTTCACTAGAAGGAATGGTGAACAGTTCAGTACTTGACATATTCATTGCTCACTGTATTTTCTGTTGACAGCACCTCCAAAACCCCCTAGTCATGTGGTGCCAACTGAAGTTTGTCGCAGCTCATCCACTGTTCAGATTCGATTCCGTAAGAACTACTTCTTAGATCAGAATGGAGCTGTGAGTAAACATAAATTTCACTGAAAGAAAAACTGTACTGTAATGTCGTAAACTCTTTAAGAATGTCTTAAAACAAGCTCCGTAGGTCCAAAGAGGACAGAGCTCAACACATTTATGTATGCTTTAATTAAATTAAAACTGGAGGTGTTCAGGATAATTTTAAAAAAATGTAAGTTGAAACAAAAACTTTTTAATGGAAAAATATTAATTTATTCTGTATTACCAAGTAACTGAGGATGGTAGGGTTAATGAAATTACAGTAACGCTGGGACTCCATGTACAAACTGCGGGAAGGATCTCATACAAATATATTATTTGAAGTACATTAGATATTATGCACCAGTAGCATGGCTGTGTCAATCATTGACCACCATCCAAGCACTTTTTGTTTTATATGTTCAAGGGAATGTGTTTATTGGTTTCTTAGTGTGTGACATGGTAAATCATCAGTATAATGTTGAAGATCTGGTCAGCTGTCCTATGAATTTATTCTTTGCCCTTGTCCTGATGAGAAAGTGCCTGCACCGAAGTGAAAGGAATGAATACCTTCACAGAGTAATGAAGAACGAATTTTTCATGTAGTGTTTCTGCCTTTATATGTTGTCTTATATCTGGTTTTGTAGTATACTGTAGGAAACAGAGTGGCGCATCTGCGCCTCTGAGGATGATTCTTTTGAATCAAAACATGTAAGGTGAATAAAGACTTAAGTGTTGTAAATTTGTGTGTCACACTGGACTGAAAATTATCCACTCTGTAATTAATAGTGTGACGGACCAGAATGAGACAAATCACACTACTCTAGGAAACTTTATCTTGTCCCATGCAGGATGTCTTTTTTTTTCTTTAGCACAACCATGAATAGGCAGTGTCTTATGTCAGGCCATGCCTATTTCTTTCCATATTCTTGTTGCATTTAATATATTTTATGCCTCAGATAATTTTCTGACTACACTTTCATCCTAATTCATTTTTAAATTTCACTCTTTGTTTTTTAATACCTAGATATCATTTGTATATTAACATTCTTAGATTGCTGTTTTGTCTAATGTGGAGGTAAATAGGTGTCAACAGGATTAAATCAAGTTCATTTCATGAATAGAGAAACTTTTGAATTAGGGTGTATATGTGACATATATAAGGAATGCACTGTTACTTGCTTGTACCCATGCACCTGGCCTTTTTCCTTGTACAAGTTGTGTTTATATGATAACAGGTGACCATGTATACAATTATTGTTGCTGAAGATGACTCAAAGAATGCTTCAGGACTGGAAATGCCGAGCTGGAGAGATGTCCAAGCATACAGTGTGTGGCCACCGTATCAGGTAATAAGAATTTGATTTTGAGGTTCTCACAACGGTGACTAGGAAGATAGAATTCTTCAGTAAGGGTCTTTTTTATTATTTCTGAATTAGGATTTCAGATGTTATTACATGAAGAGTGTAGAATTTATAGTCAATTGGATATTTACTATATTTACATTTTTACTCTGGAACATTTCTGTTTGGTTTGACAGTGAAAGCAATAAGGTAACGTGTTGGACTGCAGTTCTTACGGTTCTCAACATGGTCCGTGGAGTAAATTATGGTTTAATGCTTAATGCTGAAGGTACTGACTACACAAGTCATAGCAGTTGAAGCTTAGTTTTTTCCATGGTTTATGCTGACCGTCTTACAGTGTATACACTTTTTCACCTTATTCTTCACTTCCACACTACATGTTTCAGCACTAATGTGCCATCTTCAGGTGTCTTTATGCACGTTAAACTATTGTACTGCATGCCATAATTTTTTTAATTGCTAGTGGGGTGGGACTAAGTCCCTTTTACTGCGGCCACTTCTGGCCTATTGTACCAGCCCCAGATGATAGGTGAGGGTGATTGTGGAGCAATTGGTGGAATGAAGATTGGCAGGGGAAACCGAAGTACTCGGAGGAAACCTGCCGCAGCGCCACTTTGTCCACCACAAATCCTATTTGACCAGACCCGGGATCGAACCTGGGCCGCTGCAGTGGGAAGCCAGTGAATAACCGCTTGAGCTATGGCGCGGCCTGAAGCTTAGTTGCTTGCTACCCTGGTTTTCATGATTTCAGTTTTGAATCTTGCATAAAACTGTACACAGGTATGTGTTATTTCGTCACCATTTTTGTACATATTGAATTTTTCTCTTATGTATCTTCAGATTTTATAACTATGGTACAAGAACATGGGAAACTATATGGTTATTCCTCCATATTCAAAATTCACTATTCACAGTCTCACTTGTTGTTATTACAAGTTTCTCTGGAAACATTCATGTGGTGCATTTCTATGAATTTTGAACAGTGTCTCAGCATCTAACATGTTATTTCACGATCCATGTCAGTGCACCTTGCTCCTATACAGTATCATTGTTTGAGGTTCTTGGGAAAGGAAGATGGAGTGATATTAGCAATGTAAAGGCTATTAAGAAAGAAACGAGAACAATGCATAATTGATGTAAAGGTTCTTGACGTTATTTGAAAATTTCACTTTTTACTATCATCATGAATGGGGGAGACGAGGAATGCATATAGGGTATTGGTGGGAAAGCCACAAGGAGAGAGACCACTAGGAAGAACAAGGCGTAGGTGGGTGGACAATATTAAAATGGATCTTAGAGAGATAGGATGGAATGGTATTGATTGGATTGATCTGGCTGAGGATAGGGACCAGTGGAGGGCTCTTGTGAACATGGTAATGAATCTTCGGGTTCCATAAAATGCTGGGAAATTCTTGAGTAGCTGCAGAATTGGCGGCTCCTCCAGAAGGGCTCAGCTCCATGAGTAAGTAAGTACTATCATCACAGTAATATATTTTTTACAGATAAAGAGGTATGTATGTGCACAGAGTATTTCAAGACATGGAAAGTGGCCATAAGAGAAATAATATGAATGTTAAAGTGATGACACAGTCCATATAAAGTGACCAAACTATATCAAATCTAAAAAGTAATTAATCCCTTTATGAAAGTCTTGGCCATGAGAAAAAAGAAAGTTACATAGTTATAACCTGTGCATTTTGACTCTAATATTTTGATGTTCTCACGAATTTCAGGTAATGGAACCATATTACCCATTCAAGAACTCATCAGTAGAAGATTTCACAATAGGTTCTGAAAGCTGTGAAGGTCACCATTCTGGGTACTGCAATGGTCCCTTAAAGTCTGGTTCTACATACCGTGTTAAGGTGCGAGCATTCACAGCCCCTGACAAATTTACAGACACCCACTACTCATTTCCTATACAAACAGGTGAGTTTGCTGGGTTAACATTTGAGTGTATGAGTAAAAACAACACAGGACGATATCAAAGAACCTTCTTCTCAAGAAAGACAGGCGGCACAAGTTCGGCCCCCGTCAAGAAAGGCGATAAGAGAAAGGACATGAACCTATTTGGTTCATAAATTCTAACTTAAATAACAAAAGTTTTAAAAAACTTTAATATACCAAGACAACTGTTGTAGTTATGAAAACTATGGATTTTGTACACATTGTGCATTATAAACATTGTATGTGTATATATTTTAACATTCAGAACACCCATTGTAATAGTGATTTCCAAACAGTATCGCTGTCCCTCTGATGATGGTCTATAGGGACCGAAACATGTAAGGGTGTTAAGAATTGTAGGAAAAGCTTCAACAGTCACACTGGATGGAGTTGTTTTAGCTTTTATAGTATTGTGACATGTTGACCCCTACCTCCCCAGCCGCACGTAGTGGTAACATAACGCTCGCGTAATAGGCGAGTAATCACCCCGCATCCTGGCAGCTATGCGCGGTGACGTCACGAGCGGAGCCGAAGATAGCCGAGCCCCCGCAACCTGGTAACTATGCAAGGCGAGTCAACAGCGGTGACGTAACAGGATGACGTGGCACTCATTATGCAACAAGCAAGCACTGCAGCTATATAAGTGAGCTGCACAGTGGCTGCGAGTCAGTTGTACTGTAACAGTCGCTGAGTTTTACTGAGTCAGTCAGTGAGTCCTGGAGCTACCGCCGAGTTAGCCAGCAACTAGTCAGTGGTATTCTGGCATTTGGAGTGTACTAATTGTGATACTGCAGATAGCAGTAACTGTAAATCTGTAATTTGGGTGATTGTAAGTGCGAATGTGAAATAAAATTCGCTATACAAAATACGGCGTGAAGTTATTTGTCGCGATATACGCCCGATACGTGACAGTATTATACCCATTTTTAGTTGATATTTTCCCCACTTTAATAGTTTTCTAATGGCAGACTTTTTCTCAAACATTTTACTTCTGTGTAACTCTTTCACTGAACTTCCTTCATATAATTCGATAAGAATTTTGACAGTTATTTGGCTTTTTCCAAAGTAAGTAATGTTATGACTTACTTTGTATGAGTCTTAGTCATATTTTTCATATTCTTTTTATTCATGGACATAAAAATTTATTGGAAGTACTTCATTTTATCACACTTATGTTTAAAGAACTGGGAGGTTTTTCTTTGCAGTCAGTGTGCATTGTACAATATTAATGCATTTATAATTTTGCTGGAACTATGGAACTGTTCCTTGAAGTCTGGTAATACTATACCCATGAGACATGAGGTTCACTGAGATCTCGCATAAATCTGAACTGAAGACAATTTCATTAACTTGTAACTTACATTTCGTACCTGAAGAACATGCAGTTTCATCCGATTATTGTCAGTATGAAATCTGTCTTGTTTTATACTTTCTTTTTCTCTTGGAAATTTCTGATCTGAATGAATGTTGAAACAACTAAAAATACTGAATATTAGCTGATATCCATGTTTATTACGAGGACAGACAATTACCAAGTTATTACCACTGTTATATGTTAGGTCCTAAGCGTAAGAATAGTAAACACAAATTATATTGAGAAAGCAGTCTTCTGGGATGTGGCACCGTGTAGATGTGGTGTTAACCGACGTTTCGGAGGGATGTATTGCCTCAATCTTCAGGGTAGAAGAAAAAATAAGAAAATCCGCTTGTACCAGTTCTCACGGTCTCTTCGTTTGTGGATTTTCTTATTTTTCCTTCTACCCTGAAGATTGAGGCAATACATCCCTCCGAAACGTCAGTTAACAGCACATCTACATGGTGCCACATCCCAGAAGACTGCTTTCTTCATAGTCACTGCCATGAAAACCTCAAATCTCACACGAACTATATTGTCGAAAGAAGCAGCAGTACTCATACAGCTGCTGCCTAATCAGATTTTATGTTTTAAGCACCAGCTACATCAACAGAATAATATACAAGCCACATACATCTTAGCATGCTTGCCGTATAGCTTCACTGGCCAGTTGATGCATTGTGCAATGCTGGGATTACCCTGTGAGCAACACATTTGTACCTATGAATGAGTGTAAGCATGCTTGGCTTTCCAGAATGGGTAATAAAGAATCAGTATAAAGTATACTGCAAAGCTATGAATGAACTCTTAATGTGACATTTACTCTAGCCACCCTTAGACAAGTTTTTTTTTTTTTTGTTGCAAAATTCAAGGGTTCTGTGGAATCCGAATTCAGCGTATAAAGACATATTAATGTTTCATGAAAAATGTCTATGGCTGTTTAGTGGTTGAACATATATGGATGAACAGAATTTGGTCCTTGCCTGTGTTCCAAATTACAAATATGTTAATTCCACTAGACCATGTGTTTGTGTTTGAGAACATTCAGATGTTTCTTGTTCACAGTATTACTTATAAATTTGCACAAAAATAATCAACTTAAGTGGACGTCGGTAGTTACTTACAGATTTTGCTGGTCTTTATATGTAAAAGAAGTGTTTCAGTAAGAGTAAGCATCTTGACTTTTTCTCTCTACATGTTAATTGTATGTCTTTGTCTTTACAGATCAAGACAACACACCTATTGTGCTTGGTGTGACTATTCCATTGGTGTTACTTGCCATGATTTTTATAGTGGTTATTGTGGTACGTAAGAGGCGATTTTCAAGTAGGAGAGCAACAGAAGCAAGAGGAAATGACAATCTTTCCTTGCCTGACAGTATTATTGAAACAAGGTAAAGTATCATATGATCATCTGCCACAACATTTATGTAGCAATGTCATCATAACAAGTTTGCGTGTAACCTTCAGCTTGCCTAATTGTTATTTTTTTATTTTGGGTTTCCTATAGCCGTCCAATCCGGCTGGAAAACTTCTCGGAGCACTATCGCATGATGTCGGCTGACTCTGACTTCCGATTCTCGGAAGAATTTGAGGAGCTGAAGCATGTTGGCCGAGAGCAGCCATGTTCGGCCGCAGACCTACCTTGCAATCGTCCCAAGAATCGTTTCACTAACATTCTGCCATATGATCACTCTCGCTTCAAACTTCAGCCTGTGGATGATGAAGAGGGCTCCGACTACATCAACGCAAACTACGTGCCAGTACGTAAACACAATAGCCATGATAAAGCTGTCTATCATAATATGAATAGGGCATCATATCTAATCTTTATTGCTTATTTGTACATTTAGGAAAGTACTGAAACAAGTTTATGGCTAAATTTGGTACATTGATAGTTTAATATATTGTGCCATGAGAGATGGCTACATTTCTTCAGTGTAGTTTTATTTGATTACAAGACAACCTGAGTCCACAATCTCTCTCCAAAATATAGAAGTACTCTTTTTCTTTTAGAAATAATATGTTGGAGAATTTTTTAATTTTGAAGTCTGTGAAATATTAGTTTTCTTGATAGGGGCCTTACTGGTCAGACAGGTTTCATTGTAGTTCAGTATTCAGTAAGCAACAATTGTGTACGAAACAAAACTGATTTCAGTTTCCAAGATAATGTAGTCAGAATAATGATATATGAGAAAGTATCTGCAGTGTCTTTGCACCAGTTTTTTTGTACATGATTGTACTGTAAGCATCACTTGATTTATACAGGCGAATTTGTTCTCATTTCATAGGGTTATAATTCACCTCGAGAATTCCTCGTGACACAAGGGCCATTGCATTCCACGCGGGATGACTTCTGGCGGATGTGTTGGGAGAGCAACTCTCGTGCCATAGTGATGCTAACACGTTGTATTGAGAAGGGGCGTGAAAAATGTGATCACTACTGGCCTTATGACACAATGCCAGTCTATTATGGAGACATCTCTGTACAGATACTCAATGACAGCCACTATCAGGACTGGAGCATTACAGAGTTCATGATGTGTAGAGTGAGTGTCACCCTTTGTTCTGAAAGCGGAAGCTGTCTTGGTGACTTTAACATTGTAATGTGGGATGCTGTAAAGTTGCATGTGATGGTGACCTTGCCATCTGTCACAGAATGTTGTACATTGCTCATACAGTAGTTATAATTTGTAGTATGAAGCTTAGAAGCTATTCTTTATAAGGATTATTGTATGCTACTTGCATGATTTGAACACATGTAAAAAAAAAAAAGTAAAGCTATCCCTGTACCAGGCCCTGAAGGCCCATAGGATTGTGAGACGTTTAGGGTCCAACATTATCTAGACAATCGGCTCAAAGATGGCGGTAAGGTTGTCAGCCTTACATGCCGGCTGCGCTTTACTTCCCAGGAAAATCATTTAATTCCTGGTACTCATTTGTGTTAGAGGCTGAGTGAACCCCAGGGCCTAGTGCAGCTGGAAGGATTACGTCAACTGAAAAAATCCAATGACCTCATTGTGACTTGAACCCGCGACCTTCCGGCTTGTAGCATAGTCCCTCAACCAACTACACTACCGCATGCCCCCTTTGAACACATGTAAGGAAGGGGGTAAATCTGTCCCTGTGATGCATGTATTGTGTACAAAACTACTGAATAGGTGTGGAACAGATCTGGTATTTGACATCTAGACTGAAAGTTGTCAAAGAAATTTAAGAGTCCATATCTTATATGAAACCTGAATCAGATCTGGTATTTGACATCTAGACTGAAAGTTGTCAAAGAAATTTAAGAGTCCATATCTTATATGAAACCTGAATCAGATCTGGTATTTGACATCTAGACTGAAAGTTGTCAGAGAAATTTAAGAGTCCATATCTTATATGAAACCTGAATCAAAATTATTAATATTCTCAAAAATGGGCTCTTGTATAAAAAATAGACACACCATATACAGGGTGTCCCAGGAGGAATGGACCAAACTTCGGGAGGGTGTTCCTTATGTTAAAGTATGCCGATATAACCCAAAACACCTATGTCCAAAGTTGAACGGTTACGGAGATAATGGCCAGAGAAGTGTCAAACTTTGACCGGTGTTACACACTTGTTGATTACAAAATACATATTAAAACTGGCAGGAATATGTGGATTCTGTAATGTTAATAATGTACGTAACAT